ATGCTTTTCATATAGTGCTGTCTTATCCAGCGACTAAGAGCACAAGAAAATTCCAACTAGGTAGGACCGCCTTTCTTTAAAATTAATTTATACAGTAATTATTTATTATTCATCTTGTTTGTCCGTTTTCGAATGCATGGCCCTGTGTGTTTCCTATATATCACAAATTACTCTCAGTTCACAATTGAGACGAGTCCCAACTCTCTTTTGCATATCAAAGCAAAGCAATCTGATATGGCTTCATCTTCCTCCCCTGCTCCATCTTCTCAATATCCAAAGCCACATGATATTTTTGTAAGTTTTAGAGGTGAGGACACCCGCGGATGTTCACTAGCCATCTTTGCGATGCTCTTCGCAGAAGTAAAATAGAAACATTCGTCGACGACGGAATTGAGAAAGGAGATGAGGTATGGCCATCTCTTGAGAAAGCCATTGAAGATTCAACTCTGTGCCTTGTGATCTTCTCAGAAAACTATGCATCTTCCACATGGTGCTTGAAGGAGCTTACTAAAATATTGGAGTGCTCCAAAAATCAAGGTCACCTTGTTGTGCCGGTGTTCTATAAAGTAGATCCTTCGCATGTGAGGAAGCAATCTGAGAGTTATCAGAAAGCATTTGAAGAACTTGAGGGCAAAGGCATCAGCAAGCGACTACTGCATCAGTGGAGGAAGGCTCTCGCTGAAGCTGCTGGTATATCTGGTTTCCCCATCACCAATAGGTAACTACATGCTTATGATCGTTCTCTTACCATGTTCTTCCATGATGCATGGGGCTAAATTAAATCAATCTTTGAGCATCCATGGGAGTTGATAATCATAATGAGACTATAGGATCTCATATATATACACACACTTTGCTTAGCCAGTCCACCAGGCCTATCAACTTTATTGTCACAATATTTTTCTTCTAAATCCCCGTCTCACTATATATAGTCATTATGATCCATTCATGGCCATTAAATTAAGCTCAAATTTTATATATCCAGTTTAAATTATTTAGTACTCTCTCCCTTTTCTTTTATAATAGACAATTACCCGAATTGCGTTGAGGGCAATAAATGGGTCAAAAAATATAACTTTTTTTTGGTAAAAAATGCCCTCATTTATGTGGAAGATAGATAATGTGTGCTCCTCTAGTCCTATTTATAGGGCGGAGAGCAGAGAGAGAAGGTTTTTTTAGTCTTATTTGTAAATCACTTCATTAAATTTTTACGATGAATAGGGTACATTGCTTTTTATTTATTATAGTATAGATAGACTTTTTTTCCGGATAGATATTCGTTTTGAAATGTGTATATATTAAATAGGGGTAAAGTTGAAAAGTTGCTATATTTTAATAAAAAGTTAATACAATTTAAAATTTTTCTTGATTTGTGTGAAACATATTGGAAGTGCCTTATAATAGAACTAGGAGTATAAAATAAAATGTGTGGAAATTAAATATAATGAAATGAGTACTAAGTAATTAAATAGGATAAAATAAAAAATCAATAAACCAAATTTGAGACAACTTCTAAATGCCTCTTATGAAAACATGACATACTTCATAATTATTTCTTATAATAAAGAATGAAGGAGTAATGTTTCTCAAGAAAACTATTAATAACAACACATTTTCAAAATTGACAAATCTTCTAAGTTGCATTTCATTAGGAATAGTTAAAAATTTTGAATAGATAACGCAATATTTAATTTGGTGCATCTTTACTTTTTCAATGGTGTCAGAGTTAACGAAGCAGACAAAATTAAAGAAATAGTGGAAAGCGTTAAAGAAAGGTTGCACAAGCGGTATCCAAGTGAATATAATAGAGAAGACTTGATTGGAATTGAAGAGAGAATGAAACATGTAGAATCATTGTTGGACAAGGGGTCGAAGGATATCCGGATTATTTGCATTTGGGGGATGGGCGGTTTGGGCAAAACAACTCTTGCAGAAGCATTGTATAAGAAGTGGCATTTTGAATACGAAGGGTCAGTCTTTGTGGAAAAAGTGGGAGAAAAATCAAAGAAAGATGGAATAGATGCTTTAAGGAAGGAGCTTATTTGGAGTTTATTAGGGGATAAAGCAATATATTCTCATACAATGACTAGGCTTAGTCGGAAAAAGGTTTTCATTGTGCTTGATGATGTTGATGATATTGAACAATTAGAAAATTTAGTTGGAAGATGTGAATTTGGATCAGGTAGCAAAGTCTTAATAACAACCAGAGATAAACAAGTGCTTCGTAAGAAAGTGGATGACATATATGTGCTTCATGGTTTGGATCCTGATGAAGCTTTTCAACTTTTCTCCTTGAATGCCTTCAAAAAAGGCTACAGTGATCCAAAGATAAGAGGGCTAGCAGAACAAGTGACTGAATATGCAGGTGGAAATCCATTGGCCCTAAAGGTTTTAGGCCTCTTCTTATGCGGCAAAAAGCAAGAAGCGTGGAAAAGCCAATTGGAAAAGCTTCAAAAATTACCTTGCCCAAAAGTCAATGATATCCTTAGATTGAGCTTCGAAGGACTTGATGATGAGGAAGAAAAAAATATTTTCTTGCATATCGCATTTTTTTTCAATTATTATTATGATGTTGAGAATGTAAAAAAATGGTTAGATGCATGCGGTTATTCAACCGAGATTGGATTGAGGAGACTTGAAGATAAAGCTCTTTTAGATATTGATAGAGGAAAAATACGTATGCATGGTCTGATAAAACAAATGGGTAAACAAATTGTTCGTGAAGAATCATTAAAATATCCTACATGGTGCAACATATTTTGGATTTTCAAGAAAAGTTCTGAAATATTGAAGAAAAAATGGTAAGTGTGGAATTTATACATTTATTTATTAAAATGATTGTTGAATTTCAAATTCCTATTTGATTTATATGATTTTTTTATTAATATTATTATTTTTTGTTTGTTAGGGAAGTATTGAAGGCATGATTATGGACCTTTCGGAAGTTGAAGAGACGGGCGTTATTATTAAAGCATTTCGTTCAATGCCCAATCTAAAGTTTCTTAGGGTTTATGGAAATTTAAATGTTCAGCTTAGGAACAAGTTAAATGCTTCTGGCATGATGTTTTTGTCAAAAAACCTCATGCTATTGGATTGGGTGGGATGCCCTTTAAAGACCTTGCCGACAACATTCAAGGGTGAAAATCTTATTGAAATAAACATGCCCTTCAGCAAATTGACAAAACTTTGGGATGGAGAGCAGGTAGATTTTATATTTTCTCTTTAAAATATTATTAATGCATTAGTTGAAAATTTTGATTATGTGCCTTTTCTTTAGTCTTAATTATTTGTAAGCCTTTACCTATGGGTCTTTAAAACCTCTTAAAAAATTCAATGACAGACTGACAGCACCTATTCTAAAAAATGCATTTGTATTTCACCATCACACCAATATTTATAAAGATTATTGATTAAGTGTAATTTTAGAACGTTGTAAAACCTTTGACATTAATAAGTAATTTTTTAGTAAAACTATTAAAGAAGGATAAGAGAGAGTAATTATTTTCATTTTTGCCACCAATCTTACCATGGATTTTTTTTTTTTTTTTTACAGAATCTTGTGAATTTAAGCAAAATCGATCTTCATGGATCAAAAGACTTGATTGAGCTCCCAAATTTTTCCAAGGCCATACATCTTGTCCAAGTTACTCTCAATTATTGTACAAAATTGCAGAATGTTCATCCATCTATTTTATCTCTCCATAGCCTTTCTTGTTTAGAGCTAACAGGTTGCACAACCCTTGCCAGCCTCACAAGCAACACCCATCTCAAATCACTGTGTATGCTCAACTTGACAGGATGCTCAGGACTAAGTGAATTTTCGGTGACCTCAGAAAAACATTTGTTTGTCTTGGTGCTTCGTGACGCAACCATCAATGGTGAGTTGTGCTCATCAAGCGGACATGTCAGCAAAATTGATGTTTTGGACCTAGGAAGATGCGAAGGTGTGACAAGTCTTCACAAATTGGTTGACATGCGCACGCTTCGACGCCTTCATGCTGATTATTGTAATAAGTTAGCATCAAATCTGTGTTCCAAATTTGATGAGATGCGTGCTTTGCAATTTCTACGGCTTACTAATTGTAGTGAATTATATGAAGTTCCTGACAACATCAGCTTGTTGGCGTCATTAAGTCTGTTAGATCTCTCAGGGAGTAATATAGAGACCTTGCCTTTAAGCATCAAACATCTTTCAAGCCTAGAAAGTCTCACCTTAAATGGATGCAAAAGGCTTCTGTCTCTACCACAACTCCCTCCCTCTATCTCACTACTGTACGTCAATGACTGCCTGTCCCTTGAGACTTTACATTTACCTTTAATGAGTGAAGATAGAGAAGGAGATCAATTTTCTCATGAAAGATTCAGTTTCAGAAATTGCATGAAGTTGGATGGGCAGTCAATCAAAGCTGTTGAGGCCAGAGTGCTACTTGCCATAAATAACAACAAAGCCATTTATTTCTGGGCTAACATGGAATATCCGGGAAGAAGAGTTGCAGAGTGGGTCATGTATAGGACTACACAGTCTTTCCTGACTGTGGATCTCAGTTCGATTCCACAACCTTGGGATGGCGCTTTCATTTTTTGCGCCGTCATTTCTGGATCATCGCGGTGGACAAATATTACAGCCGAATTGTTTATTGATGGTCAACATGCTTCCACGTTTGAGCACTGCTCTGTCGGTGAGTCCCTGTTATCAGATCATGTTGTTCTTTGGTACGCTCAAAGGCAGTGTCGAGAAGTACAAAGGAAAATTGAAGAAAAGAAAATAGAAGCCCAAAGCAACACTTCTTATCATCCATTGCTTCAATTTGAATTCGCAGCCTTTTCGCTTGATGATGATGAAACAACAGTAGAGATCAAAGAGTGGGGGGTGTGCCCGACATCTGCAGTTGAATATCAAAATTACATCAAACAAATTCAATTGGCATTATTGCATTGCAAATCGGCCTCTCGAAAGCGCAAATATCACAGCTTACTTCGATGAATTTCAAGAAATGGTTTTTGAGTTTTACAGCTCTCAAGTTCAATTCATCTGCCCACTATTCAACTTTATATATCACTCTCGCGCCTCGACCTCAAAATGGTATGCTCGGGTTTTAACTACTAGTGATAGAAATGCTTTTTTCTTGTTTTTAAATAATTTGTACGTTCTGATTACCACATCATTAAGTTGTACCATTGGCATTCATATGATTAATTTAACATTTTTGAAGAACTGGATTCAACTGATGGACATTAAGCTGACTATCTCTTACTTCTACTATGTCATAATCACGGGAAATTAATCGAGCAGATTGAGAAAGAAAAGGATTTATGGACATTGAGGAAGCCACTGAAGGAGCTTGCAAATATGAAGAATATGAGAAGAACAAGAAACAACAGGTTCGATCTTTGAACATTAATATCTGCTCATCTTTCTTTTTCAATCCCTGTCCCTCTGATGGCTGCAGGAATTTCCATCTCATTTGTGTGTGTGTGTGTGTATTCACAAGGCTGCATCCATTAAAGTCGTAAACTCATAATCAGCGGCCTGAAAAGTTTGATCTCGTTCAATTCATCCGATCATCTTCCTCTGAAAAAAATTTTTTTACCACAGTTTTGGAAATATTTGCGAACATGCAAAGTTGCCTTTAGTTAGGAATACCCTAAAAATTTGATTGAGGTTAACATTTGATAGCTGGGATTTAATATTGGACGGTAATTCGGAGTTCTTAATTTAATCAGGGTTGTTAGTTTAGTTTGCATAAGTTCCCGACGCATTTAGCTTCACATCTAAGAATGAAGTTATTAACACCGAAGCAGAGCCTGATCAAATGAGGAATGAATCATTTGAGCCTCTGATCGCGGTTATAATTAATAGGGACAAGGATCGTTAAGAACATGAAACCAGTAAAAGCGAAGAAGATTCTGACTCGCCCAATACATGTCAGCTCATACACGTGGTGTCAGGGCCCCGGGCTGTGGCAGCCCCAATTTGTTGAGGTTTGTCCTTGCATTAATTTCTTTGGAGCCAATTTACATATCCCAAGCAATGTTTTAAAAGCCGAACCGGAAGTCAAACTGGAAAGATCAGCGGGTTATAGTCCAATCGGTCGAACCAGTCGGACCGTTTGGTCGGACCGGTAACGCAATAATTAATTTAAAACAATATTATATACATATAATTAATATATATATGAAAAATATTAAATTATTAATAATTTAGAAATGTATTTAAATGATCCAAAAATATAATAAAATCATTGAAGATGGACTAAAACCTTATATATATATTTAAATTTATGTATGTTTAAAATATTTAATAATATTAAAAATTATTAATTTATTCAAATCAAAAAATTATTTTAAAAGATAGAGCAGACATCAAAACAAAAAGGCTAGTGATTCATGGTTTTAATATCACAATATGTGAAATTTTCAATAAGATAATACTATATGGTTATAAATAGTCTAAAAATATATTAGGATATTTGAGGGGGTCAATTTTTTTATTTTTCTAGTATTTTTTTGGTCAGGCTAAAAAACCGTCCGATTTTCTGAAAACCGTTCCAGTTCCCGATCCAACTCTGGTTTCCGACTTAATGACGACTCAACTCTGGTCCAATCCGGCTCAACTATATAAATGGTTTTTCGGTCCAAACCGAGCCGTTAACAGGTTCGGCTAACGGTTCAACCGGTCCGACCGTCCGATCCGATCCGGTTTTTAAATCATTGATCCCAAGTTAAGCATGCCAACGAAATCTTATACTACCTCTAATCTTTAATATAAGACTTCGTTTGATTTTAATTTTGGTCTTAAATATAAATCCTAATCTACTTTGTCTCTCATATTTATGTATTTTTTTCCAAGACAGTCCTTCTAATAGTAATAGTTCTAGCCAATATAATTGACTAACAAGGATATTTTAAAAAAGACAATATTTATTATAAATAACTAACTTAATTTATTTTCTTAATCTATTCAAATTAGTCAGCTAACTCCTATATTTAGCATAAGAGGTGTGGTATGTTGTTGGTTTCAATTTCATCCACCGATTCTGTTCATTTGTCAGTGCTTATTTTTGACAGATCCCTTGCCGGCTAAGCAGAGCAGAAGGGCTCGTTGTTCAATCAATCAGCAATGCTTATAGTCCACTCTTCGTATAATTTTCTCTCTCTCTGCTCTCCGTTCTTCATTCGGTGCTGTCTTTTCCATTCAGTATGAAATGAACCAAAAAAGTTGTATTGACGACAATATGTGAAAACATTCATACATTTTGATTTCAAGGTTCAAGTCCATTTTCACCTGCAACTCTGTTCATTTTCGTCTGTTCCCTTGCATACCTCTGTCAAGGAGGATTTTCTTGGCCTAAAGGGCCTTTAGTCTTGGCTTACGATTTAAATGAGTCTCTTTCTATAAGTATTCTGTTAATAACTATTCTTGTGTCTCTACTTCTGCTCTCTCTTCTTCGCAACGTCCGCAAAAAGAGAGAACTTATCTCTATTTTCAAAACAGAGTATTCCAACTGCGCGTATGCCGAAGCCCAAGTGAAGGCATAATAGTCTAATGAGAACCGAAATTCAACTTATTTAAACTTTCATTTTTATTAATAAAAAAAAAAAAGAGGGAAAATGAGTGTGACTGTTTTACAACTCTTTGGGTTCCCTCGCCCCAATCCCACATCATGATTAAGGATTGGAGTTTCATCGCTTCTACGTCGTAAGGGCAGATCAAATTACTGAAGTTGCTGGGAAAGGCTTTGCGAATATCAAAGATGAATATCTCATCAGTTAATGAAGACATAAGAAGCTGATGGAAGAAAGTGCGACTTACAAATCTTAATTTTCTGAGACTACTCTATAATCCATTCGCATTTAGTGTATGCATTTGTTACTTGATGTAGCTTGTACCGGATGAAATATGATTTTGTTGGTTTTGAACAAACCCATGCGAAGACTTAATTATAATATTAAATGTTCCTATTCACCCATATCTTGATCTTTTAAGTTGAGATGTTTTTATTATATCCCCCAATTAGTAATACATCTTCCCCGTGGTGCTTGAAGGAGCTTAGAGTGCTCCAAAAATAAAGGTCACCTTGTTACGCCAGTGTTCTATAGAGTAGATCCTTCACATGTGAGAAAGCAATCTGAGAGTTATCAGAAAGCATTTGCAGAACTTGAGCACAAAAGCATCACCCAGCAACAACTGCAAAAGTGGAGGGAGGCTCTCACTCATGCTGCCAATTTAATTATCTGGTTGAGATTGTGGCTTGGATAGGAAACTATATATATATATATGCTTAATTATGATTGATCTTTCTCTTATCGTGTTCTTCCATGCCTATAGGGCTAAATTAAATAAAAACTAATTCTTCAACTGTTATACATTACAATTAAAATTAAAAACAACCGGACCCAGCCTCCATTCAATATACATGGATATTATTTCTACATCATTTTCTAAGAGACAACAATTTATATATCCCATGTTAAGCATGTGAATGAAATTAAATCTTATATTTTGTTAGTTTCAATCTCATCCCCCGATTCTGTTCATTCAGTTGTTTTCTACTTATTTTGGAAAGCAGAAGGGCTCATTGTTCAATCAATCAGCAATGCTCATAATAGTCCACTCTTCTTATATTATTTCGATGTTCTTTCTGTAGAATCAGAAGAACGTTTCCTTCCTGATGCTGCACTACTATAAAAAAAAATTCATTTTCGTACCGTATTTCCTACGGATCAGACGAGTATGAAGCTGTATATTCGTTACTTCCTCATAATTGTCTGTTACATAACAGATGAATCTATATAACTCCTATCTATATTTTTTCAATCAATGTCTCTCTCTAAGCAGATGAAAATGAGTTTCTAGAACAGACAAATATTGCATAATTTGTAGTAGGGCTACACATGTCACAGCTGGAGGCTTTGCAAAAAGCTGATATAGTGATGTGCTTGTTCAAAGTAAAATAAAGTAAAAGTTGTAGCTTGCTTTTGAAAATAAGTGACAGACAGAACTACTGAACCTGTGAAGGAAACCGAGCATTTTCAAGAATATTCCATCACTTCCAAGTTCATATGGCGAATTAAATGTTTTTGTATGTATTCATTACTTTTGCCTCTTGCTCTAATGTTTTGGTGCTTTTTCTCTCTAACAGGCATCATTTCTTTCATCAAATGGCTTAAGAGGGAGTGATCTCTTCTTGCATTACTCTTTCAGTAAGAATTTCTTGGCACAAAGGGTCTTTAAATTATGTATATTTGATGGTGGCAAAGTTGAAAACCTAGTTAATTTTAAATATAAATTAATAAGTTTTAAGATTTTCTTTGGCACGACATTGATTTATAAATAAATCTAAAATAGTGGTTAAATTATTTAAATCTTGTTGAGAATATTACAGTGTGAGCAAAATAAAGTCACCGGCCTGTCATTTCGTATTAACTATAATTTTCTTTGAATATTCTTCACATGACCTTGAAGAACTTGGATTCGTGCCTACTTATTATATCTTCCCTCTTCTTAACGCGTGACTAATTTCAACTTAATTAAGAGTACAATAGGTATATATAATAATGGGCCATCATGCATTTATTAAATTTGAATCATTTCTAGTTTTTTTATTAATTAAGCTTTGGGTGAAGGCCTTAAGAAATTCGGGAGGAAGTCTCAACGTCGTTTCCTAATTATGCCTTAAAGCTTTTTCGGAAGCCACACGGAAAAGGCGAAGCCTGCAAAAGTTAGCTTTGCTTTTAGTCATCTCATTCGATGAAGAGCAAGTCACAGCCGGAGGCCTTGCAAAAACTGATAGGCTTGTTCAAGTTAAGAGCAAGTCATCAAGGCAGCACCATTGCTAATTCAAGTTTTGCTATTTGCATAGTCTGATCATGTGAAGCTAAGTCTATCATTTGAATTGAAGAGGTCTGATAGTAGCTGGGCATGATCGAAGGATGATGTAAGCTGGCACAAGCCTTTTCTTTTTAAATTGTCTTTTTGACCCTTCAATTAATTGTAATTTTCCGTAAAATACGGAAGCTCAAACTAATGTGTGTATACCTAGGTATTGTTTGGTACGAGGGAAATGAAAAAGAGGGGAGAAGAAGGGAAATTTTAATGAGCTCTATATAAAAAATTGGAGAAGTGGGGTTTTGAAATTTTAATAAAGAGAAAAGTAATATAAAAGAGTAATAAAAAGTAATTAAACATTTTTAACCTCATTTTTTTAATTTTTAAAATCAAGCTCATTAAAATTTTTCCTCCCCTCTCCTTCTCTCATTCTTCCTCATACCAAACAGACCCTAAGGAAATTTGATTAAGCATTGGGCAATTTTCTTTCTCTCTGCTCTCCGTTTTTTCATTTGATGCTGTCGTTTCCAGTCAGTATGAAATGAACAAAAAG